TTCTACTAGAGACCAAGTGTTCAAATATATGAGCCTATGGGCCATTCTCATTCAAACCACCACATTGCGGTTTCTTATTTTAAACTGTTTCATGGTGTTGATGTTTGAATCTGCCCAAGATCTCTTCTTAGCATTTCTCCCCTGCCATGTTCATGGTGGTAAGTTATTAAGTGCAGACAGCTAGGTTTTACCCACTGTAAAATCAGCACTTCCAGAAGGCCTATTATAGACTGAGTTCTACACTCCAATGGTGTCTACATGTATGTCAGCCTTCTCCCTGGACAGTACAGGCCCTGCCTTGGGGAGCTGAGGAAGGAGTGCCTTGTGACAGATTATTGTGTGTGATCAGGAGAAAAGTTAAGATCAAAGGGTCCTAAGGTGCAGAGGGTCACTGTTAAGAGTGTCCTAACTGTGCTGGACTGAAGAGCACAGATGTGGTTAGTCCATTCTGCCCTGGCTATGTGACTGTCAAGTGCAGAACATCTCAATAGTCTGAAGTTGTGACACTCTGACGGGGCCAGCTTTGTGGCTGTGGGGTGTCTTTGGGAATCTGGTCGTTATTCGTCTTCTAGAATCTTTACTGTGATACAGTTTTCCTGGACTTCTGTGTCTCATGAATTTCAGGTTTGTGTGTCTTTGTGACTGTAGCAGGAAACTCACCTCCCTCTTGGTTCCAAGGGAGAGAGTACTGTGAGTCTGTTTAGCAGTGGCCCACTCGCTCCCAAGTTTGGTGACTCTGAACAAGGCTAGGTATATGGGGCTATTTTTTTGGAATGAATGATTATAAACTTAATTATGCAGTTATTTTTAAAATGCCACCATGTTTACTTTCTAAAGCTAATTAAAGCAGGTAGCAACTGATGCCAGTTGTCTCGTGACAGCTTGTAGGTGCCATTCCACCTTTAAGCACTCTCGAAACTTCCTTATTTGCAGATGTTATTTTGGCAGCCCTATAGTCCATGGTGTTTCCCCAAAATGATTGGGTGCAACAATCTCTTGGAATGAAGCTAATAGAGGATATGGCTTAATCTCCATGCCTTTACTTTTGGTGTACAGTATTGTAATTTGATTTTCCTATAAAGAATAGGAAAATGTCACTCTTCTGAAGTTATTTTCTAAGTCCTGAAACTGTGTTCAGTTCTCGGTACAAATGGCCAGAAGAAACCTAGATCCCAAGTAGTGTTAGACCTATCCATACTGTTTGCTAGCAACAAAGATGGCTAACTTAAGATATTATTTTGAGACTGTAAATCTCTTGGGTTTGGTCTCTCATCCCATCCATCCAGTGAGGTTGTGTCTCCCTGACATCTTTCTCTTGACTTCAGGGTGACACTTATCTATCTTGTAAGATACATTCGTTTTGGGGGACATCTTTCAAAATCAGACTCAAGGTAAAGATGGTGAAGTACAGTTACCACCCTCACACCAGACCTTTAGAGTGTTGTCTCAGCCCCTAGTCAATTGATCTTCATTGTGGAGCAATCCTGCAGCCCAGTGGAAGCATGAAGAAGGCAGCTAGCAAAAGGCAGGCCAGTCAGGCCAGGCAGCTGGCCTGCCCATTTCTCCTGTCTGCTGTACCCCCTCACAGCCTTCAGAAGCATGCTGTCTCTCAGAAGACCATTTTAGTGACTGTTGGAAATATAAACCAGAGAGCCAACAGTCTGACCTGCTGACCCTCAGATGGCTCCTCCTGTACTCAGTGGTGCTGGACACAATATGAGGCCTTCTGCAAGTGGCCTTTCTGTGGAAAAGGTACTCTGAGCAGGCCCACCCCTGCCTGGACACAGTTTTCCAATGTTTTCCCATTCCCTTTCCTGAGCTATTGTGGGAGTGCCTGTCCCCCTCTCCTAACTACAAATAACCATTGCCCCATAAACATTCTTAGTGAACATGTTTATTATAAATATAGCTGGTTTTCTAACGAGAGCCCTTGCAAATCCCCTCAGACAGGGAGTATGGAGCTCCTGCAGGTGACTAAAGTTGCAACTGGACCAGCTCTAAGAAGTTCTGTGAGGCTCTAGTGTCAGACTGCTTCCATAGCAACAGGGAAGTAAGGTCAGGGATACCTGCTCTGCAGGTTGTGGAGACATAGCACAGGTGAGGACAGAACTGCTGTCTGTGTTCTAAGGTCTAGGGCTAGCCTCAGCCCCTGTAGTAGATATAGCAACCTGAGAATTTCCTGACTCTCCCAGTCTAGACCCACAGGGCAGTGCCTAGCACATCCAGTATTATGCATGTGGCATGAGTAAGCTGGTGGTCCTGTTTGTTTTGCTCATGAAGTTCTTAGGTTTCACTAAAAGTAATTTCAGTGGCTCAGTGCCTGTATTCCATGTCTGGGGTGCACAGGCTTGATTGTTGAAGTGGATAAAGAATGTTCACCTTATAAAATTATGCAATTGCTATCACTTTTCCATCACATTCTTGATGTGACGTGACTTGAACTTCACATGGAAATCCAACCACTGAGCTGCAAGGCCTGTGTCTAGAGAAGGATACAGTCTAAGCCTCTGTGCAGCTTGGACACTTTTGGAAGCATGGACTTTGAGAGGTGTGTATTAGGTTAACTGTGGGTGGACTAACCTTCTGGCTTCCTCCTAGATTGGGGAGGATTCCCCAGGTGACTCCCTGGAGCTGGCATGGTACACACAGCACTGCCTGCAGTGCCTGGATGCTGGCCAGGTTCTTCTTTTGAGTAGTTACCCAATACCATTTTGGACATGCCTTGGGTACACCCTGTCTGTTTTTCCATAAAGCCTTGCTGGAGATCACGAGAGGCAGCATCCATGAAAGTCAGCCATCTTCACACTCATGCACTGAAAGCACACATTTTGTGTGCTAGTTCATATGCACAGGTTGAAGGCCTAGCTGTTTGCCCATGTGGGCATCATTAAAACCCTGCTTAGGTGACAAAACCTTCACCTCAATTTCCTCCTTTGAACTGCTCTCTCAGTCAGGGATCTTTAAAGGAACAGGGCTGATACACTAGATATATGTATTTTAAGAGGGGCGGGGGGCTAGTAGATTGTCTTGCAGATTGTGGTCTGGTACCCTCAAAACAAAAGTTCAAGAAAGTAGTAGTTGTTCAGTTTGTAGGTCTGAATGTCTCAGCAAGCCCAGACTGGCACAGAAGTCCTGGAGGATTCCTAGTTTTCAGTTCAAGTTAGAATCCCAAAGAAGTAGGTTCTAATACTGCCAAAGAAATGAATGTGTCAGCAGCAGGACAGATGAACTTGCTGTGAGAGTGACAACAAGCAGGCAAAAGCAGTTTCCTTCTTCCATCTCCTAGTGTGGGCAGCCACGCTAAGGGTGGGTCTTTCTGCTTCAAATAATCTGATTAGGAAATCCTTCACAAAGCCAGGCATGTTGGTGCACACCTTTAAACCCAACTCTCTGGAGAAGGAAGTGTCTGAGTTCTAGGTCAGCCTGCTCTACATTGTGAGTTCCAGGACAGCCAGGACTATGTCTCCTGTCTCAAAAAAGAAAAAGAAGAAGAAGATTCTTCACAGGAAGGCCCAACAGCTTAGGATTTCAGTTGCTTCCAGATGTAGTCAAATTGGCAAGCAAATTTAGCAGATTAGCATCACAAGCTCCTCCTGGGCTCTAAGTGAAAAGTACTCCAAAGATCCAAGCACTGGTTGGTTTCCTGTCATGGCTGTATTCTGTGCGGTGGCCTGTACAATCTTGAGTGGCTGCATGTCCTGTTCTGCACTGTCTCCATACTGCACAAAGGGTGCCAGATTTTTTTCCCCCACAGGCCACCTGGTTACCAATTCTTTTTTTTTTGGTTTTTCGAGACAGGGTTTCTCTGTAGCTTTGGAGCCTGTCCTGGCACTAGCTCTTGTAGACCAGGTTGGCCTCGAACTCACAGAGATCCGCCTGCCTCTGCCTCCCGAGTGCTGGGCTTAAAGGCGTGCGCCACCACCGCCCGGCTGATTACCAATTTCTTGATCACCGCTCCCTGCCACTCTTCTTTCCATGAGGGAGCAACACCATAAAAGTACCCATGCCTACAGGGTGTCCACCCACTAATGCAATGAGAGCTAGAAACAGTTCTTAGGCCAAGGGAAGAGGAGCCAATGGCCCTGCTGAAGTAAGAGACCCTGATAGGCTAGATGCTCAGGCGGGAGGCAGGGTTCTTGTTTACCTTTTGCAGTACAATGACAGGGATTTGATTGGTAGGGGCAAGCATTTTTCCCATTCTTTTTTGAGCATGTCTAAGAATCCTTACTTTCTTTGTGCCATGGCCTCTGTAGTTAGCAGGTTGCTACAGTCTTCTGAATTGATGACAGTATGTATTCACCTATAGTTTATCTATGTATCACAAATTCTGCCGTCTCTCTTCCTTACCTTCTGTATTTAACTATTTCTCATATGGACCTTGCATTTTCATGCCATATTTTGAATATTTCATGTCATATTTTGAATCTCCAATGTCTGTATAAAGATGCTGAGACCTTAGGTGTGCTATGAAGTACATTTCCATGTGGGTAGGTAATGCGTATCTTTGTGTCCTTCACTTTCCTCCCCATCTCTCTGCTCCCACACCAGCTTCTTATCTTTGTCATGTCACAGTGGTCTTTCCTACTCTAGATCTGGGCCTGCCATTGTGTTCCAGGCATACTCTTAATATGTTGTCTTGGTGGATGAACCCCTAAGGTAGAATTTCAGAATTCTTCCATGTCTAATAAAATGCCCAGCAGTTGTACAAACTCCTTCACTATTTCAGCTCTCTGGGGATATACTCAAAGAGCATTTATACTCAACAAGGTCACCTACTCCTCCTGAGTACTATGCACAGATCCAAGACTCATCTGTGAATCTTGTCCTTAAAAGGGAAGAGGAATTTTAGGATTTGGCAACCTGTCCTCCTCTAGCCACCTTAGATGAATGGACAGGTAGGCCAGGTGGCACCTTGGGAACCCTAGTCAGGGAGTGGTGGGCTGGTTCCTGGGTGTCCGTGGGTCTCCAGGACTCTGACCTCTGTCCTCCTCTGCCTGCAGCAGCAGCAGGAGATGCTGGCCATGAAGCACCAGCAGGAACTGCTGGAGCACCAGCGGAAACTGGAGCGGCACCGGCAGGAGCAGGAGCTGGAGAAGCAGCACCGTGAGCAGAAGCTGCAGCAGCTCAAGAACAAGGAGAAGGGCAAAGAGAGTGAGTGCTGGTGGGCACAGTGAGGACTCAGGGCGCCCCCACCTGACCACTGCCTCTGTTGCCTATGCTGCTGCCCCAGGCAGCTCTGGGGGGCTTGTCACCCCATGTAGGAGTCATCAGTGTCTTCCATGTCTTTTGGGTCACTCTCATTGGGCATAAAGGCAAACCAGTGACCTTGCTTTTGACTTTATCCAGGTGTCAGGAAGGACTCAGTATCAGCCTCAGTTCAGGGGCATTCTGGGGCTCCCATGTTGACTCAGGCATCTTGAGACTACTTGGCAGAACCTTTTGCAGATGCACAGAATATTAAAGCTGTAAATATTGCCTTCCGACTCTGAGGTCTTCCCTATGTTTTCTTTGGATACATTTTGTAAGTGTCCCTGAAATAGGTGTCAGCCTATAGGTGGACTTGTAGATGAGGGTACAATTCATGTGTGGCTGTCACGCCTGCCTCAACCAGCAAGTAAAACAACACTGGAGCTCTTCTTGCAGGCAGTTTATTCAGGACCTTGTTCTCTCTCTGTCTCTCTCTCTCTGTCTCTGTCTCTGTCTGTCTCTGTCTCTGTCTCTCTCTCTCTCTCTCTCTCTGTCTCTGTCTCTCTCTCTCTCTCTCTCTCTCTCTCTCTCTGTCTCTCTCTCTCTCTCTCTCTCCTGGGCAAACCTCTCCCAGCCCTTAAAAAGGCATGGGCTACCAACCCCGGATTGCCAGGTGGGCACTGCCCATAGGTCCACGCATATGCAAGCAGCTGATGATCATTGCGTGATAATAGGATGAGTCAGGCCTTAGCCACACCAGGAGCTGATTATCACAGAGAGCACTCGCTTTTGGGATCGCGAAGGGCGGGCGGGAGCCAGTACCATCAGGTGCAGCTCCATGCAGCTCTCTACAGTTCCCCCTTTTTGTTTTGTAAAGCAACAGGCAAGAGTAGAGGTCTGATCTCTGTTAAAAATGGAACATGTACTAGTGTCTGTCCAGGTGTCATCCACTCAGAGAACACTAGACCTGTCTGGTGTCTTTTTACAGAGGTGGAAGTTAGACACCAACCCACACGCAATCAGACTTGCTCTTCTTGAAGTCGACTTCTCTGACCTCAAGTGCAGTGCACAAGCCTCGCATCCTGTGCTCAAATATAAATAACCAAGCTTGAGGGGACTGTCCTGCTTCAATGGCCGTGAAGGCCTGAATGATCATAACTGCATTGCGATGCTGTGAAACCCTTATGTGACAAATGCACCATGGGCATACCAGGGAGGCAAGCACCATTAAGCCTGTTAGGGCTCCTATTCCTGCCCACTCCTTTAGATGACCCATGGCTGTAGTGATCCAGGAGGATAGTCCTTCGGCCAGGCTGGTATCCATACGTGTGGAATTTGCAGTCGCAATCGCCACTCGCAGCTTTTCCAGTTTTTTGAATTCATCAGGCCAATTACCTAAAAGATATCTAGACAATTCTCTAGACAAATTAGCTACATGAGTAAATTGACACGAGTCATCCTCGAATTCCCCAAGAATGCCCCCTTTATTGTGTTCAGGGGCAGATTATATAGAGATAGCCACGCCCCAGCCAAACCCACCAGAAACCATTCTTTGGCCATCAGGAACTCCTGAAGGTCTCATGCTCAGAGCAGCTGTAGGCACTCAGATCAGGGGATTAGCCTTGCCCCACAGCTGCATTGCATTCTCTGGCAGCCCTGTAGGGTCTGTGCTCCAGCTTATCTCAGCTCCAGTACTTGTTGTTGAGTCCAAACTGGTGCATAGAGAGCACTCGCTTTCGGGATCACAGAGGGTGGGAGCCAGCACCATCAGGTGCGGCTCCATGCAGCTCTCTACATGTGGCTTTGAGGCTCACTCTTCTCATAGTTTTGCTTATTGATACAGAGATTGATGTAGTTGACCACCCTAAGGAGTGCCCTATTTGACAATAGCCGAGAGGCCATTGATAATGCGTTATTGCTTAAATCTACCATGGAGACTGTATTAGTACTTCCAGTTGCAAGGATGGAAATACCATGACCAGAAACAACTAAAGGAAAAATGAGTTCATTTTGGTTTATGATTCCAGAGTCTGAGTCTGTTGTAGCAGGGAAGATTAGGGCAAGACAAAAGAAGCAGGAAGCAGGCTGATCATATTTCAACCACACATGGGAGAGAGGATGAGCAGGAAGTAGGATGAGGCTATAAACTCTCAGAGCTCACCTCCCCAGTGACATACTTCCTCTAGCAAAGCTGTACCTCCTAAAGGTTCCATAATGTCCATGTGCATCACCATACATGAGCCTATGGGGAGCAATTCTCATTCAAACAGCACATGGACAGACCCCCAAAATCCTTTATCTGCAAACACTGAAAATGACTAGCCATCTTTACAAATCATTGTAACAAATTTTTGTATGAATTTTAATCTCCATCTGTACCACATAACAAGATGCATATGCTTAAAACATTCTTGTAAAGTCTGTTATTTGACATTGTTTGAGAATCATTTTGGCATGTGATATACAAAGTTGCAGACAGATATGTCTGTGACAACAAGGAGTAACCTGGGAGCTGGCATACTAGCACCTAGGGACCATACACTCAGCAAAGAACCCAAGCAAAGGCAGTTGGACTGCCAGGCCTTTGGGCCTACCTGTCTTTAGCCTTTCCCGGCACTGCTGCGTCAGTCATCTTAATCCAGCTCAGTAGTCCCTTGGCATCTAGTGCTACTTTCCCCTGGCTGCCACTGAGGTGCAGTGTGAGCCTCTGACTGGCCTGGCAGAGCTCTCCTTCCAAGATGTGTTCAATCAGGTCCTTTGCCTGTGCTTCAGGGGAGAGAGCTCCCTTGGCCTTGGTGTGGAGCTACTTCTTATGTGTTGTGGAGCAGAGCTCCTTGTGAGTTGTGTGCATTGTCAACTCCTTTCTACCTTCCGAGTGCTGACTTTTTACTCATAATGGTGTTTGTTAAGCACAAGATTCTCAGTTCTAGCTTAGTCCAGTTCCTCAGTTTTCTTTGTATACTTTTACATTGTGTTTTAGAAACTATTCATTTCTCCTAACTCATTTTGCAGCATATTTGAGTAGTTTCCCACTTGGGTGGACATCCATTCTGCTGGAGCTGGTGTATGTGTGTTGCGTAGTTTAGGATGTGCATCTGGCCCCTCAGGTATCTCTGAGAACTGATGTCTGCACCCATGTGTTTCCATGCTTCCTGTTGGTGACATCAGTCCTTGTTGTCATTGCACCAGTACTTGTAGTTTTAGTCACCACAGCTTGGAAGTGAGCCTGAGCACTATGCTAATCTTCCTACTTTCCAATTTTTTTTTACTTAATTAACATTTTTTCATTTATTTTACATACTAACCACAGTATCCTCTCCCTCCTCTACTCCTATTCTGCCCCCCCACTCCAATCTTCCCCCCTCCCCATTCACCCACTCCTCTGCCAGGCCTCCCATGGGCTTGAACATAGCATAGCACAACAAGTTGAGGTAGAACCAAGTTCCCCCCGCTGTATAAAGGCTGGCCAGGGTAATCCAGCGTGGGGACTAGGTTCCCAAAAGCCAACTAAGCACCGGGGACAGGTCCTGCTCTCACTGCTAGGAGCCTTACAAACAGACCAAACTTCATAACTGTCACACACATGCAGAAGGGCTAGATCGGTCCCATGCAGACTCCCTAATTGTTGGTCCAGAGCCCATGTGCTCCCATGAGCTCAGGTCAGCTGTTTCTGTGAGTTCCTCCATCATGTCCTTGACCCTACTGGCTCATATAATGCCTTCTCCCTTTCTTCAGGAGGTTACCAAGAGCTTGGCCCAGTGCTTGGCTGTGGATCTCTGCATCTTCTTCCATCAGTTACTGAATAAAGGGCTCTCTGATGACAGTTAAGGTAGTTACCAATATGATTACAGTCGATGGCCAGTTCAGGCACCCTCTCCACTATTGATAGAAGTCTTAGCCGGGATCATCCTTGTGGATTTCTAGGAGTTTCCCTGGCGCCAGGTTTCTCCCTCACCCCAAAATGTGTCCCCCCCATCAAGATGCCTCTTTCCTTACACTCCCCCTCCATCCCATCCCGAACCTGCCTCCCATGCCCAGCTGTCCAACCCTCTCCCTCAAGTTCCCATCTCCCAGCCCCCCCTCCCACTTTCACCACCAGTTTACCTAGGAGATCTCTTCTATTTGCCCTTCCCAGAGAAATCCATGTATCCCTCTTTGGGCCCTCTGTGTCATCTAGCTTCTGTGAGGTTGTGAATTGTAGTTGGTTATCTTGTACTTTACTCATGTCCATTTATGAGTGAGTGCATACCATGTTTATCTTTCTGGGTCTGTGCTACCTCACTCAGAATGATTTATTTTTTTCTAATTCCATCCATTTGCCTGCAAATTTCATGAGGTCATTGATTTGTACAGCTCCGTTGAGTAAATGTACCACATTTTCCTTATCCATTCTTCGGTTGAAGGGCATCTGGTTGTTTCAAGGTTCTGGCTATTATGAATAATGGTGCTATGAACATACTTGAGCAAGTGTCCTTGTTATGTGATTGATCATGCTTTGGATATACACCCAAGATTTGTAAAGCCGAGTCTTGAGGTAGATTGATTCCCATTTTTCTGAGAAACTGACATACCGATTCCCAAAGTTTGCACTCCCACCAGCAGTGGTTTTGCACTCCCCTTAATCCACATCCTCTCCAACATTAGCTATCATCAGTATTTTTGATTTAACTGTTCTGACAGGTATAAGATGTTATCTCAGTTCCCTGATGACTAAGAATGTTTAACAATTTTTAAATGTATTTTGGCCATTTGAGATCCTTCTGTTGAGAATTCTGTTTAGATTTTTTATTTGGCTTAATTGGTATTTTGATGTCCAGTTTCTTGAGTTCTTTATATATTTTGAAGATCATCCCTCTATCAGATATGGGTTGGTGAAGACATTTTCCCATTCTATAGGCTGTCAGTTTGTCTTATTGACAATGTCCTTTGCCTTACAGAAGTTCAGTTTCAGGAGGTTCCATTTA